TCCCCTGTGCCCTGCAGTGCTGCCCCTGCAGTATCCCCTTTCTGTGGGCTGCTCGCCCCCCTGATGCTTGCCCTGGTCCCTGGCTTTGACCCCTGCTTGACTCTCCAAGACCCTGGGTGCTAATTAAGGTACGAGCCCCATTGCTTCTGGCCGGTTGGCTGAGATGGCTGAGATCAGGTGAGGACCTGAGTATCCCCACAGAGCCCCGGGTACCGAGGAACGTCCCTGGGGGCTTCCGCAAGCACTGGGCTGAGCAGGGCTGTGCGTAGCTGTGGCTTTTTCTTCAAGACCTGCTGTCATTAGAGACAAGGATCCTGCTGCAAATACTACCAGAACAATTTTGTGCAAAGCTGGCCTGTGAGGATTAAAGCAAATAACAGCCTCGAAGTTGGAGAGCTGTGTAAATGAACCGGAATTCTCTTACCTGGAAGATTGGTCTCTCCTCCTGGATTTATTACTTATTCAATCATTTATTGATATCAATATGGACTGATAGATAGTTCCTTTATTTTTAGGTGTAATCAATAGTCATTTGTTTCATTGCTCAAATTGTCTCAGCTTTGGTCATGGGGAGTCTCTCCTTTGGCTCCTGCGTCCTTCGGACAAACCCTCGTCATTGTGGAGGTCACTGTGTCGTGTTCTACTTGAGTCTTCCTTCCGTCCTGGGTAATATTACCTTGGATGCCTCCTGTTCACTCCCTGGAGTTGGCCCTTTCTCCAGGTACCCTGGTGCCTCTTATGGAGAATGGTACTAGAAGCCAAGCTTTTGGGATGTCTTGATTCTGGGTCCTCTCAGCTGGCAGGGCAAGGAGACACGTGTGTGTGTTCTAACTCAGGCGTGCATACTTAGCTCTGTATACAACCTTCAGGATCGGGATTAAGCTGAACACGAATGTGCTCATGATGTCTGCTTACCTGTAAACTCCCACTGGGGCGGTGAAAACCTTGTGTCTCCCTCCTGCTCCCCTCCTGCTGAATCTCTTGATTCTGGTACATGCATAGCAGCCTTAGAGTGGTCAACTCTCTCCTCCGTGGAATCAGCGGTAGTCACTGTAGTATGGAGCTTACCTAGGGCATCATTTTCCTTAATTTTAGAGTCCACTCATTTCTAACATTTGCCTATTTTGGCAGCTTTCCCTCCAACCTTCAGTAAGGTCGTTTCATACATAATAATACTGTTAGATTCTTTTGTCACATTATGCATGCCATCCTGGGACCCCACAGCCTCCTAAATGATATTTTAAAATTTGCACACTTTCACATTTGCTCTCTGTGCTGTAAAGTTCTTTGGGTTTTGACAAGTGCTTAATGTCTTGGATTCTTCATTATGGTATCATACAGAATCGTCTCGTTGCCCTAAAAAAAAAATCCCCTGTGCTTCACCTGTTTAACCCATTTCTTATTCTGATCCCTTGGAAAACACTGATCTTTTCTCTGTCATTATAGCTTTGCTATTTCTAAAATGTCATCTAATTGGAGTCTCATAATGCAGTGATTTTTTCCTACTGGCTTCTTTTACCTAGCAATGTGCATTTCAAATTCATTGATTTTTGTGGCTTGACAGCTATTTCTTTTTATCACTGAGTAATGTTCCATTATATGGAGGTGCCAGTTTGTTTATGAATTCTGTGATTAAAGGACCTCTCAGTTGCTTCCAATTTTTGGTGATTGTTTTATATTGTTTTGTGGATAAAGGTTTCCAAATAGTCTTGGCACATGAATTCTTAGAAATGGTGATGATTGCTGGATTGTATATGCTAAGATTGCATTTCCTTTTGAATATAAGGCCTTGAGCCTGGTAGGCTAGTGCTGAAGGGAGCTGCACCCCCATCCTTTTTTTGTTTTGAGACAGTTTTGTTGTGTTTCCCAGCCTAGACTTGAACCTACTCTACTGTCTTGTTGCCTTAACCTCTTAAGTAGTGGGGATTACAGTGTGTACCACCATGCCCGACTCTAGTTTTTTAAGAGAAGACCAGACGGCTTTCCAAAGTAATTGCACAACTTCATATTCCCATCAGCAGTGAAAGAGAGTCCGTGTTTATGCTCACTGGCAGTTGATGTTGTCGGTTGTTTGGATGTTAGCGGACTGATGTGTGTATGTCTCCTGGCTTTCACTTCCTTGTTTTAATTCCCTAATGACAAACCATGATGAGCGTTTTTCAGTATGCTTATTTGCTGCCTGTATCTTATCTGAAGTGTCTTTTCAGATCTTTCCCCCATTTTTAAGTATTGGGTTGTTTGTTTTCTTTACTGTACCTTTTAAAGAGTTATTTTGTATATTTTGGATACAAAATATCTCATATGTACTTTACCACATATTATGGCCCAGTATATAGCTTGTTTGATTCTCTTATCAATGTCCATCAAGGAACAGAAGTTTTGAATTTTAATAACTTAAAGTTACCAATTCAAGTTACCAGTTTTTTGTTTCATGGAACTTGTTTCTGGTGCTGTATCTGAAAACTCTTTGCCAAACCCAAAGTTCCTAGGGTTTTATCCTGTTACCATCTGTAAGTTTTATAGTTTTGCATTTCACATTTAGGGCTGTGATTCATTTTGAATTGGTTTTTATGAAAAATGTTAAGTTTGTGACCAGGGTCACTTTTTCTTCTGCAAATGGAATGTCTGCTTCAGTACTATTTGTTGAAAAAGACTGTCCTTTCTCCACTGAATTGTCTTTATTCTGTTGCTGTATTTATTTGGGTCTCTTCTGGGGTTGCCATTCTATTTCATTGATCTTATGTATCAATTTTTTCACTGTCTTGATCATTGTAGCTTTATATTAAGTCTTGGAATCATGTAGTGGGAGTTCTCCAACTTTGTTCTTACTCTGAAGTATTTTTTTGGCCATTCTAGGTCTTCTTTCCTTCCTAAATAAAGTGTAGAACTAGTTTGACAATATCTACAAAATATCTTACTGGAATTTTGATTAGCATTGCATTGAACCTATAAATCAAGTCAGGAAGAATTGATGTCTTTAAAATGTTCAGGGTTCTAATTCACAAACACAGAAGATCTCCCCATTTATTTAGATCCTTTTTTATTTCTTTCATCAGAGTTTCATAGTTTCCTATAAAGAGATCCTGTACATATTTTATTAGATTTATACATAAGTATTTCATATTTTGGGTGCTGTTGCAAATAGTATTGTTTTTAAATGTCAAATTCCAGTTCATTGCTGGTATGTGGGAAAGTAACTGACCTGTATATTAACCTTGTGTCTTGTGACCTTGGTGAATTTGCTTATTAGTTCCAGGAATAGTTGATTTTTTTCCCCCTTCAGTTCTTCAGTGCTTTCTAAGTAATCTTACCATATGTAAGCAAAATTCATTGTTTTTCTTCCTTCTCATTTTTTAGAATCCTTCCCTTTCCCTTTCCTTTTTTTCGTATTTGTGCACTATCTTGGACTTCCAAGGTGATGCTGAACAGGACTGAGAACATCGTTTCCTTGTTTCAGATCTTAAAGGCGAGGCATCCAGCTTCTCACCCTTAGGTCTGATCGTGGCTGGAAGTATTTTGTAGCCAGAGATAGCTGTTCTTTGTCAAGTTGGGCAAGTGCCCTTTTGTTGGGTTTTGTCACATGCTTTTCCTGTATCAATTGATCTGAGTATAGAATTGTTTTCTTCTTCAGCCTACTGATACAGTAGATTACTTTGACTGATGTTCCACTGTTGAATCAACTTTGCATATGTTTGTAGCATAAAATTCTCTTTTCCCACTGTTGGCATTGATTTGCTAATATTTTTGAAAACTTTCACATCCCATGTGCATGAGAGATACTGATCTATAGTTTTGTTTTCTTATCGTATCTTTATATGGTTTGGTGTTTGAATAATGGGGCAACATGGAAGTTCCTCTGATTCTAATTTATGGAACAGATTGTGGGAGTTGTTGGTATTTCTTCCATAAATGTTTGGTATAATTCATTTGAATCTAGTACATTCTCTTTTAGAAGATTGTTAATTATTGAGTTCATTTATTTAATAGAGGTCTATTGACATTGTGTATTTCGGAAATTTGTGTCTTCCGAGGAATTTGTCCCATTTTGTCCAAGCTATCAAATCAATGGGCGGAGGGTTGTTATAGTGTTTCTTTATTACCCTTTCAATGTCCATCTGATCAGTAGTGATGACTCTCTTTCATTTCTGATATTGACAATTTGTGGTCTGCCCCTGCACCCTGGGCTTGGAAGTTTTCAAAATACACATTTGAGCATGTTCCCAGGCCTGCTTTGGAAGAAGGTTTTGGGGTGTAGACATGACATGCTTTCCTCAGGACTCCCAGGAGCTCCCAATGCTTCTCACAGGGTGATGACAACTGGGTAGCGTCCTGAGTCTGGATCTTTCATTAGTTTTCAAATGTTTTTCAACCAGGGCATTCTCTAGCCATTTGGAATGCTAATATGTAAGATATAAAAATGCAAAGCCGTTATCATTGACTTGGAAGAGGAGAAAAACGTGAAGACCTCGCCTGTCTGGTCCTCACCTCCCTAAGCTCAGGGCCCAAGGAAGCACTGGGGTGTCAGCACCCTGGTTCTGGCTGTCGTAGTGAATGAGATAATCCTCACGAAGTGTTTTGGGAAGTGCTTATTAGCACGGAATACAAGTTGGATAAAGGCTAGTGGCCACGGTTGCTCCTCCTGATAATTCCTCGTTGGTGTGTCCACTGGTGGGCAGGGCTGCTTCTCCAGTGCTCCGGGATTCCCTGTTGCCAAGAATCCGAGAAAAAGCTGCTGCTCACAGACCAGTGTGCTGAAGTGGCGGGGTGGGGTGGGATGGGGTCGGGACCACGTGGCCAGGCCCCTCAAGGTGCTCTTCTGACTCTGGAGATGCAGCATGTGAGCCCCAAGCTCTTCACTCCCCCCCTACCCCCAGGAACAGAGTGCACAGGGACCAGCCCCACCCGCACCTTTGCCCTGAAAGTGCAGGCGATCCTGATTGCATTCTGGCAGATTGTGGCCTGTGTCCATTGTTTCTCACTTTGCTTATCTACTGTTGAAGGCTCTGCTCTGACCAATGGGGGGCTGAACCTGCACAGCCCCGTGAAGAGGAAGCTGGAGGCTGAGAAGGACTATGTCTTTGATAAGAGGCTCAGGTACAGCGTCCGCCAGAACGAAAGCAACTGTCGATTTCGGGACATTGTGGTGCGGAAGGAAGAGGGTTTCACGCACATCCTGCTGTCCAGCCAGACCTCAGACAACAACGCGTTGACGCCCGAGGTAAGGCGGTGGACTCCAGACCTCTTTGCCTGTCCCTTCTCTTTCCATGAGAGCAGTACAGGTCATGGGGGACCCAGCAGGCCAGTGACCCAGCTCTGGGCTGGTAGGGGGGCTGGCATTGCCTGGTGTATCCATACACTCAGGGAGGCCCCGGAAGTGGAGGGGCTGCGGGTGCTGGGCCTTGGCCTTGTGGTTGCGTGTCTCATCCTGTAATTTACACAGCCGATGGTTCTCCTACGGGACTGTGGGCCTCACGGTCCAGCATGATTAACAAATTGAGAGGGAGACGCAGTGATTTGTGCCCTTGAGTCTGTGGATCTGGTGGTTGCTGGTTGCCTCTCCTCTAAGCACAGGCTTCTGAGGGACTCCCCTCCTCCCCTTTCAGCAGGAGCACCCCAGGCTTCTCTGCCATGTAGACCTCTGTACAGGATTCCAAGGACCCCAGAGCGTAGCTCTGCCCACAAGCGGCTCTTCACGTGTTCACACACCTGGAAACTGTATTATTTTAAGCTCGTTGTGACACATCCACACAAGACTGATTCTTCTTGGGTTTTTTCTACTTCACTACTTTTTTAAAGCATGCTTTAAAAAGGTACAGCATTTTCCTTCATTAGATCGAATAAAAGTGACACCTCCCAGTTGAGTCTCTCTCGGGAGCAGCTTTGTGTGTTAGCTGTTTCCCACTCATCCCGGAAGCCGTGTTGTGCTCCACATATCCAGGGTGCCCGGGTCCTCACCCACTGAGCTGTGGGCATGGTTAATTAGGAATTCCATTTCTAATCAGCCTTGGTCGGTTACAGAATGGGAGGAGAAGAGAAAAAGCTATCAGTCCTATCATTTCAGCTGTTTCCTCTGAAGTGAATTGACGCTGTGGGTTAGCCGGCTGACTAGGTAAAGCAGCCCTGAAAGAAAGATTCAGCTGAAATGCAGAGGTGGTGTCGGAGAAGGAATGCAGACTTGGAAGTCTGGCAGAGCCGGGTTCAAATCCTGCTTCCACCAGCTCACCACTTCTGTTACTTGGGAAATTACTTTGCTTTTCTGAGCTTCCTTGGTTGCAGAAATTATAGTCTTTTCCTTGTGAGATCAGAGCTAATGTATGCAGAGAGACTTCCAGAGTACCCGGCACATAGGAGTAATAAATACTCCTGTCATTGTTAAGATGAAGCAGAGGCCATTTAATGGCCACCAGCAGCCTGGCCTTGCTTATTAGGGTAGAAACTGGGAGGGAACCACTTTCCCGGTCATAGCTGAATTTCTTTCTTCTAGTTGTCCATGTGTCATTTGTTGGATTGGCCATCCAGGCAGAAATTTGATTCATTGCTGAAAATGTTAACTAAGTTCTGAGACTAGTGGGTGTGTTATGATGATTCTCTTGTCTGGAATATAGCAGAGAACTGGGAGATTAACAAACATGACACTGCACTGTCCTCATCATTCAAGGCTTGCCCATGTCACTGCTGGGAGAGGAGCCCCAATGCCTCAGCCTCAGCCACCATGGTCACCAGCATCCGTGGGGACTGGACAGCCATGCAGGGTCCCTGTCACACCCCTTTTGTCATGCCTCAAATTAAGCCTGTTCACCATCATTGTTGATTCTGCTTTCTGTTTACTTCTATGTCCATCATAACCACTAGAGTTGCAACTAGTAGGCCATTTTGCCAGGACTGTTGTAGTAGCCTGCTCATAAGACTGCCTACTGTCATGCTTCTTGCCCTGGAATCTACTCTCCACAGGCAGGCAGAATGATATGCTGGAAATGCAGCTCTGACCACACTACTCCTGGGTGTGTGCACACACACACACACATACGTGCACATGCACTCATGTGCGTGAATCAAACGTGTTGATCTCTCTGGTTAATAAGCAGAACAAACAGTGTGGCCTGCCAAGATGGTGCAGTCTGACCTCATCTCATATCTCACATCACACCTCTCTCCTCTGCATTCTAGAGACTTATCTCCTTACGCACCTTCTACAGGACCTTTCCACATGCTCACCCCTCTGCCTGGAACAGCCTTTTCTGCCTCCTTGCTTCACGAATGCCTGTTCTTTCTTCAGGTCTCAGCTTGTCCGTTACTCTTGCAGAAAGTCTTTCCTCACCATCCTGAGGCCAACTTTCTTTCCATGGGATTCCTTAGCACCAGGGTCCTTCCTCTTGGACCCTGTTACAGTTGTTATATACACATATTTGTTGCATTTTATTAAATGTCTGATCCTCTCTTTCATCAGATTATAAGCCTTTTGAGGCTCTCTCTATTGTGATTCAGATCTAAAATGTCTCCCCAGAGCCTCATGTGGTCAGAACTGGGGCTTTGGGAAGGTGATTAGATCATGAGGATGACATACTCATCAGCGGATTAATCCATGAATGAGTTTGAAACTGAGTGTGCTGTTAGGAACTGGAGTGTCCTGTTAGGAACTGTTTGGTGGGGGCGTGGCCTGGGAAGGTGTATTCTTGACCTTGGCTCCTCCCTTCTCACTCTGCTTATGGACTGAGCTGCTTTTCTTGGCCAGGCCTTTCCACCATGCTGTTTTTGCCTTGGAGCCAGATGACCATGGACTGAACCCTCTGAAACCATGAGTCAAAATAAACCTCTCCTCCTTTAGATTGTGGGAGTCAGGTGGTTTGTCCCAGCAACCAGAAAGTGACCAATTCACGCTCAATTCAGTAAACAGTTTTTAAAAACCATTACACAACAAGTTCTGAATCAAGGATATACAGGTGAACAAAGTACTATTTTGACTCCTAAGGGATTATATTAATTATTGATTGCTACCTAAAAAGTTGTGCTAAACTCAGCACCTGCAAACAACAAGGACTTCTTATAGCCCTATCTGTGGATCAGAAATTGGAGTGGGCTCAGGGCCCACCCCAATAGGTCTGGCTCAGGGACCCCCACCAGCTGCAGTCTAGATGCTGGCTGGGGCTGCAAGATCATCCGTGGCTTGGCTGGTAGAGGGAGGCCCCACGTCCATACCCAACCATGTGGATGTTGGTGGGCCTTGGTCCTCACTGGCCAGAGACGTCTGTTCTTTGCCACATGGGCTTCAAGGTTACAAGTGAAATGGCAGCTGGCTTCTTCCAGAGTGAGAGTAAGAAATAACACACATAGAAGCGGGAGTCATTTTGTAATCTTCCCTCCTCTTGAGAGTGTCAACCTGTCGTTCACTTTGGTATCCTCGTCAGTTAGACGTGAGTCACGAAGTCCGTTCCTCACTCATGGGTAGGTGGTTGCAGAAGAGTGTGAGTAGCAGACAGGGCATCAGTGGGGCCCATCTCAGAGGCAGCTGCCACAGGAGTCTCCAGCAGGCAGGAGGCAGATGAGGTGAGAATGTACATGTTCTACAGGGTGGGAAGGGCTGGTCAGATGCCCTGTGAGGAAAGTTTACAGTATTTGGGGTGTCGGGAGAAGGAGGGTGCACATCCAGTTGGGAACTTTTGAAAAAAATCCCTCCCGAAGGTGGTTGCTTTTGAGATGCGCCTGGGGTAACTGGATCTCAGGGAAGAGAGGGACCTTGGTTCTACTCCTCTTGTATCCGGGTCTAGGCTCATGGCAGATCTGAAGCCAGAAGTCGTGCAGGGGAAGCGGCTTCTCTCCAGCAGGTGCAGTGAGCCAGGAAGTGCAGAACTCAACAGTAAGTGCACAGGATGCACTTGGGACCTCAATGTACGAGACAGTCTGCACGTTAGAGTCACACTTCAGAACCTTGGGGATGGGTCTCCTGCAGGCCAACAGCTGTCCACTGAGCACACGAAATGTGTTCTGTGTAAGAAGGCAGAAGAGTATGGGGTAATTCTAGAGCATCTTGGTGGAAACACAGCAGCTACACTATAAAAGTTGGAGTCTTTCAGGAAGATGGAACTTCAGCCATCTATCCAAATTGAATTCTCAACACCGGAAAGGCAAAGGGAAAGGTGCTAACTAGGTATAATTTTTTGTACTTTTAAATCATTTTTAATATTATCTATTTATTTATTTACTTGGTACCAAGGGTTGGAGACAGGGCCTTTGCACTGAGCTATATCCCTAGCATTTTTTATTTCGAGACAGGATCTTGCTAAGTCACCCAGACTGGCCTTAAACTGGTGATCCTGCTGCCCTAGTCTCCCTCAGTGCTGGGATTGCAGGCATGCACCACCATGCCTGGCTTAATTTTTCTTCTTATGTAAAGAAAAGATGTAGAGTGTACTTCAGTTGTATCAATGAGACACAGATTTGCTTTCAACTTAATTCATAAAGGATGCGGATATTTTGGCCAGCCTTGTTTTTACTAATTGACCAGTGGATGCTGGGACAGAGAAGCCCCTCTCTGAGTCTCCCACGGGATGAATCACAGCTCATCTCTTTGCAGCAAGCTTTTCCTTTATTGGCCTCTCTGAGTTCGTAGATAGCTGAGAGTGTGTCTATTTCTAGAGGCAGATGGATTAAAAGACCCACAAGACAGCGGCCTGCTCGCATTTTTGATGCTCAAAATGCACATTTGTGGCTTATACTCTCCTAGTGAGGAATGTGCTCCTCCCCTCTTCCAGCAGAGCTGGGTCCCAAGGTGTCTCGGTTCAGCTGACACCTGGCCCTGTCTTTTCCACTGGAACGTGTCCATTTATTTAAGTCATCTGACAGGATGGAGTCATAGAAAGTGAAGGGATGTGGGTGCTGACCCTGGAATTGTGGCCTTGCCTTTTTCTGCTGGGGTGGCCTTGGGCAGCTTCCCCTGCCTCTGAATCTGCATTGCATCACCTGTGAGCTTGGCATGCCTGTCCCTACCTTGCAGGACCTTGTTTGGAATAAATACAGTATTAGGTGGTACCTGACGCAACCCCTAGCATTCTAGGTGCTTACCACACTTGATCTTAGCCAAAAGGCCGAGAAGCAATTCTAGGTGCTTAACCAATGCGGAGGTTCTTTTAAAAGTGTAATTTAAAAAATAGTGCTTTCAGAATAGCTTCCCAAACCCTGTGTGAGCAATGAATAATGATTTCTCCAAAGTCTTATTTGCAGATTCTCTCCCCTGTGAGACTAAACTCTGTCCAGGTCAGGACCATGCCTTGTTTCTTACTGCCATTGCCTTCTGCACTTTTTCTCCTTCCCTCATTTGGATTGAATGATTGAGATTTCTTTGTATTATCCTCCTTTCATTATACTTCCTAATTTTGAAAATGAATGTGACCAGCCCGTCCATGCCACTCCCACACACATAACACTGGCCTGCTGTCTCCTGCCTTCGCATCTCACCTTACATGCTAGAAAGCCCGCTGCTGCAGCTTTACCAGGGACACACCCTGCCCTCTAATCAGGCACCATCAGTACCCTGAGTTTTTTTATAGTCAGTTCTTATATTGATTTAACACATTCTTCAGGGTTTTTGCTGTCTGTTCCCTGTGCACCAGTTTTCTTCTTGAATACAGCCCTTTTTTCTTAGGTTTGTGAGGGTCTAAGAATGTTCAGCTTCTTGTACTGAAAGTGCCTAGCTTTTACCCTTGCCTTTGAGTGATAGTTTAGCTGGATGAAGAATTTTTCTCAGCAACTGAAAAATTATATCGTGTTACCTCCTCCTGTAATTTAGCTCTGCTGTTTAGAATTATGCCTTCAGCCAAGTGTTCGTACTTTCAAGATAATCATTCTTTTGTCTCTGGGCATATTTATTTATTTTCATTTGTTTATTTTTAGATGAATATTTTATTAGTGCCTATTAATTTTATAAAATATTGTTTCAATGTGTATGAAATATTTTGATCATATTCACCCCCATTAATCTCCCTTTCAATCCCCTCATTCCCTTCCTCTTGTCTAATAATAATCTCCCTTCTGCTTTCTTGTCATCTTTCTTATTTATTATGGAGAATATGTGATAATTGTCAGAACTTCTGAGTCTGACTTATTTTGCTTAACATCATCATCTCCACTTCCATCCACTTTCCTGTAAATGACATATTTTGTTCTTTTTAAAGCTAAATTTTGTAAGTCTTACAGCTGAATTGTATAATATATACTTCATTATATAATATGGATATCACATTTTCTTTATCCATTCACCTGTTAATGGGCACTTAGGCTGGTTCTACTTCTTGTACCCAGGTTGAATGAACTTGGTTGTCTGGCTCCAGATCCATGGCAAATCTGAAGCCGGAAGTTGAAGGGAAAGTGGATTCTCTCCATCAGATGCCAGAACCTATGACTACATTAGGTTTCATGGCAGGAAATTAGGCTGCTGAAGGTGCTAACGAGTGACTTCAAGATGAAAAGATTATCCTGGACTCGGTGGATGGGCCCAGTGTCATCAGACAGTTCTGAAGTATAGAAGAAGGAGGTGGAAGCCTTGGTGTTTGTGTGATGTGAAGTGAGAAGCTGACCATGGGTGGCTTTGAAGGTGGAGGGAGGGGCCACGAGCCCAGACATGCAGGTGCCTTGAGAAATTGGGAAAAGCAAGGAGCCAGATTCTCCAAGGCCCCTGCATAGGAATGCAGCTCTGCTACCCACATTCTCATCTTCTTATCTCTTTAGGTCCTGCCTCCCTCTTCTCTCTGACCTCCGAAGAGAACCTTGAGCACCTGTCTTAAACCTTCCTGTCACTGTTATCTTTACCCCTCATTCATATTTCCATCTATTTCTGTGTTCTCCATTAAAGGCAGTCACTTCAGGTCTTTCAGTTCATTTACTCTCCCTTTAGCTAGATTTAATCTGCAGGTATCCATGATTTTGTTTGTCCTTATAATCATTTTCCCCTTATATCTATTTTCCTCTACTCTTCTGTTCTTTCTTTATTGTTCATACGTCTCCTCTCCTCTCCTTGCTTCTTAGAAATATTTTTAGGTTCTAGTCTCTTAGACCAGTAGTACTTAAAGTTGTTATATAATCCTCCTGTGTATTGAGTATGCTGACTTGTATTTCCTCAGGTGTTTTGTAATTTGTCATTGTGAGCTCACTTTCAACAAGAATTTATTTCCTTGTGTAATTCTCATGCGGTCTTAGTTGCAGTTTTTCTCCAGAGTACTTTTATATTCATTTCCATGAGATACCTCAGGGATATCACTAGCCTATGTCCAATTTCCATGTCAGTTTTTTAACTTGGAGATTTCTCTTGTATATGGCAGTGTAACTCAGAAGTCTACCAGGGGACAGACAAGTAAAATGTCCTCTTCCATAGCACAAAGAGAAGGAATAAAATGCTCTTCGTCTAGAATTCATTGCACCTGCCGGGAATATGAGCCTATGGGTGGACACAGCATTCTCTTTCCTTTTCTTTATTCTTCCCCATAGTCCCTGAAAGTGGGTGGTGTGATCCCTCACTTATAAAGGATGAACCAGGTGAGACCAGTGTGTCTCAGGTCCTAGAACGAGGAAGTAGCAGGGCCAGAAAGTGGGCCAGGGGCTTCTAACACCAGACTTTGGACCCAGGTCCAGCTCTGGTGTCAAAGCCCCCTTACCATGAGCCACCACAAGCCATGCGAGTGTCTGAGCTGAGCCATCTAGAGGGGGCATATGCACCTCACTTGGCCTGTGCGCAGGTCTATTTTCCCACAGTGTGTAAAGGGCTGAACAAGCAAGTGCCAGAAGAGGATTTGCAGAGCCATACAGGGATTGACTGATTCGCAGGCAGGCTCCTGGGTCTGAGCCAGTGTCCAACAGACCTCCTTGTTAACTCCTCTGCCAGCTCTGGGGATGGTGCTGGATGGCTTTGGTTTCCATAAGCATTTCTACCCTTAGTCTGGGCGTGTGCTTGTGTGTGGAGGAGGATCCTTGCCCAGGCAGAAGCAGATCTGCCCACCTCTAGCCTCTGGGGCAGGCTCCTGGCTGGCTCACCAATGGCCACTGCATCCCTTCTTCTCATCCCTGCCTGCAGATCATGAAGGAGGTCCGGCGAGCACTGTGCAATGCAGCCACAGATGACAGCAAGCTGCTGCTGCTCAGCGCCGTGGGGAGCGTGTTCTGCAGCGGTCTGGACTACTCCTACCTGATTGGCCGGCTGTCCAGTGACCGGCGAAAGGAGAGCACTCGGATTGCGGAAGCCATCAGGTGAGCCTGCTCCTTCCAGTCGGACGCGCTGGAGCCCTGCCTAGGATTACTAAGCTTAGCAAATAAAAATGCAAGCTGCTGTTACATTTGAACATCACACAACAAAATAATTTTATTTTTAGCATAAGTATGTCCCATGCAATATTTGGGACATACTTATATTTAAAGATTATTGGCTGTTTATTTAAAAATTTGAGTTTTAGATCCAGTATCTTGTATTATACCTACAACTCTGATCTTGCCAAAATTAGGGATGCTTTGCTCTCTAGGTTTGATTTCCCTTTCATTCTTTTGATTGATAAAGGATTTTTTTCCCCCTCTATTAAGGCCTGGGTCTGGTGATGCCCGTATTAGTATTACACACCACACTCCTGCCTCTGCCTGGCAGTGGAAGTCTCTGGTGGCCCTGAGATTTCCGTCTTGGATCTAATATGACTCAACAGTGGTGAGGGGCTGGGGGTGCCCTGGGCAGCTGTGCATTTGTGGACCTTTCGGGGTGGGAGTATTAGTCCCTCTTTTCCTGCCTTTGGGGCAAAAGTGAGGGTCCTGAAGGTGACATCCAGTGCCAACAATCAGTATTCCTTTTGGGACACAGGGTAATTATTTCCCTATTCTTTATAAATGTATTAAAAGTAAATGAGGGTGATTTCCATCCAGGGCTGTTTAGCTGGTTGACGGCTGTTGCTCTGTCTGCCTCAGGAAGGGTGAATACACTCACTGCTCTGACTCACTTAGGGAAACAGGCAGGGGTGCCTGGTCTCATGAGAGGGAGGGCTTACTCCCCATGGTGTCATGGAGCCCCAGTTTGCATGTTGGGGTTTTCTAGGACCTCCAGTCTCACTGCTGTGAGGCTGCCTCACACAGGCTGGTTTCTACATGGCTGTGGGGGCTTTAAGGGTTGCAGTGTCCACGATGTGACATTAGGACATTCTTGTGTGTGGGATTCTGGTCCCTCTTCAGAGCGGGGCAGGGTGGTTTCCGGAGGGCCAGAAGAGCCTGGTCACTGCAAAGTCACTCAGGTTTTACACCAGTGCCAGGCGCAGCCCAGTCCTGGACATGTCCATGGCTGTTTACTCTCTGCTTGGTCTTGGCTGTGTTTTCTCTGGCTTCTCAGGAGTTGAGAGGAGCAGCAGGACCCCCAGCATTCTTCCTTCCTCATTCCTGGGGCCATCAGGACCCACCCCGAGGAAGTGAGTGCCCATCTCCGTGACTCACGGGAAACTTTGCTTATCTCCTTTATAAGTTTCTGGTCTTCATCGGGGTTTCCAGAACCCAGAGAAGCCCATGTGACATAACCCCTGGTTTCCATTCCTCACACCCACAGTTCATTAGCATGCAAACCTCTGCATTAGCATGCATCCCAAAAGATATGCCCGCGTCCTAATCTCTGGAACCCATGAATGTGACCTTATTTGGAAAAAGGATCGTTGCAGACTAGTTATGTTTAAAATTCCGAGACGAGATCATCTTGGGTTAGTGGGGTTCAGACCCAAAGGGAGTGGCCCTCTCAGACACAGAGCCAGGAGAAGGCGACATGACATAGAGGCAGGCACTGGAGGGAGGCAGCTGCCACCCCAGGAGCACGTCTGGCACCACCAGGAGCTGGAGAGAGCCTGGAGCTCACCCTGGAGCCTCCAGTCCTCCTGATCCCTCAAGGAGCCGGGGTCCCATACCTGGACTTTGAACTTCTGCCCTCCAGACTGATGGGAGATTCAGCTTCTGTTGTTTTGAGCCACCCTGTCTGTGGTCATCGTGACAGCAGCCCTGGGAAACCACCGCAGACCTGAAGGGAAGTGTTAGCAGCTCAGAAAGCCCCAGCACCCTGGGCTCCCCTCTCAGGCAGGGTTCATCATGGCCTTTGTCCTGGAACCCTAAAGGGCCACTCCTGGTGGGTCATGCTGGGGTCTGCTGGGTGAGATCTGTTAAGAGATAGTGTCTGACAGCTGTGGGTAACGTTGCTCCCAGTCTGTCATGGGCGGGCTTGTCCAGCATGGTGGGGCGGGCAGTGCCAGGGCATGTAGGAATAAGGACCTGCAGCTGGGGCACTGGGGAAATGGGACCTGAGCCCCCAGCTCCTGGTTCATTCTCGAAGCTTTTCACAGCCAGCAAGAGCCTCAGTGTCCCCCCTAGCCTGTCCCTATCTGAGGTCTAGCACAGCTTTATCCCCTGCAGCTTCTATCTGTTGGGGTTATGAGAGCAATAGCTATGTCCCTCTAGAGTCTTGGGAACCAAATCAGGGGAGAAAGAAATGTCAGGGGCAGGCAGAGAGGAAAAGATTAGCTGCATGAAGCTGGAGTGGAGACTTGGATGGGACCTCAGACCCACGTGGCTTCTCACTTGTCCGGTGGAATAAACCAGGGAATGCCAAAGCAGAGGCTCCACATCTGAGGAGCTCCCACAGGCATTATTCCTACCTCCAGGGAGATGCAGCCAGTGGAAGTCAGACCTTTGCCACCTCGGCGGGCAGGTGTGCTCAGGCAGAGCAGAGGGTGTGAAGGCAGAGGGGCATCTTCCCATCTTTCAAAGGGAGTGGAAATCGCTAATTTATGGGCTGGCAGGGACATGGGAGTGGGAAAGGGGATGTCCCCTGGGCTGCTGTTTCCAGCTCCAATAGCACAGAGAGGCACAAGGGAGTGTTTCGCAGACCCGGAGGCCTGGCAGCACCCCTGGGAGATCCCGAGCAAGTCCATCTGGGACGGGGGAGCACATCTGCTCTTGCAGAATTCCCTCGTGGTTCTGATGTGTAGCCAGGGTGAAGAGCACCTGCCTGGTGTCAGCCAGGAGCTTTTGCATGATGGGCCCAGCATGCAACAAGAGGGACAGAAAGACCTGTGTTTGTGTGCAAGAGACAAAAGGTGGCTATAAGGAGAAGAGGGTGAAGAGGACTGAGGAATAGGAGGGCAAGGGGAGGATAGATAGAGGTGCAGATGGTGGCCACACAGGGGCCCTCGGGTCAGAGAGATCATCAGACTCTGATAAGGAGTCTCCAGCTCACCCAACTCTGGAATGTTTCCTCAGAGCCTTCCGGGAGTTGTGGGTCTGATGTCACAGTCCTGCATTTGGCAAAGAATGTTCTATGGCTGCTATCCAGGACCCATCCTGAAAGAGAGGTTCTCCTCACCTAAAACTGGCGTAGGTGGCATGATGGTTTGTTAAGTGTGGTGCTCAGGAAGACCTCTGGACCTCCTGCCTGAGCTCAAGCCCACCTTGTCCTGCCAGTGGTGCAGCCTCGGGCACATAACACATCTCACTGAGCCTGTTGGCTCATCACCAAGATGGGAACCATCAAAAGGGTGGTCCTGGCCTCACTGGTGGTTGCTAGGATAAAGAGTACTTAGATGACCTGACATGGGCTATTCCTGGCATATACTAACCTCTTACAGTCAGGGTCCAGAAGTATTGTTGTGCCTGCTGCCACTTCCAGCCAGGAGGCTTCCAGCTAAGCTGAGTCTGATGGTAGAGTGGGCCCCTGGAGACTTTGGAGGGGGGTGGGGGACAGTCTCTGTGTGTATTTATCTGGTGCTCAGAGTCCCTGGTCTGGCTGACTTGGCTCTTAGCCTTGGCAATGGGAGGGTGCCCTCCATGGCTCTGCTTCAAGGGAATAGGTAATTGGGTCACAGTAGAAATGCCAAGTGCTCCAAGTGAAATCCAGGCCTGCCCACGAGCAGGAGTCTCCCTTATGCTGGGAGAACAGATCTTGAGCACATTCAAAGTTAAATGAAAGCTATCTGGCCCCTCCCTGGCGCAGCCCGTAATATGTACTAGCAGCCCGGATCAAGTGCTCCTTGTGTGGCGGGCACTGTGCTGTGAGCCTGCGTGGACTGTCTCATTCATTTCTCACTCAGCCCTATGGGAGGCGTCCGATGGCATTTCCAGTTCAGAGGGAGAAAACGAGGCCCCTGAGCCTGGGCAGCTTGTTCTGACCGCTAGAGAAGGACATACTTGGCCTCAAGTCTTTCTGACTCTGAAGTTCCCGCTCTGGTGCCACATCAGAGCGTTCTAGCAGTGTGGTCAGGCGGAAGCTTGGGGTGAGGCAGAGGAAGCTGCAAAGGCCGCGCCAGCCCCGTGGCCATGGATGCCAGGGAACACAGCACCCGTCTCCTGAGCGCGGCTCGCACTGCTGTCAGATCAGATATTGGAGCCACAGGTCTGTAATGCAATATCCTGCTTGCTGTCTGGCTCCCCTATCCCCATCCCTGGGGGGCCCTGTGATAGAGATCTGCCGCCTGAGGTGAAAGGAAAAGGATGGGAGGGGGTCTTCACCTCACATTTTGATATAAAGGAAATGAAAGGCAGGTTGGGATGAACAGGAGGGGCTTGGAGGGGGATATCCGGAGCTCTGCATGCTGGAGCCTTTTCGCCTTCCTTGGGGTCCCTGCTGCCCTTGCACAGAGCTCAGGCTGGAAGTCACAGAGTGGAAGGCTGGGGGATCCTGATGTGGAAGGCTGGGAAGGGGGTGAAGGCTGCAGCGATTCATGAAGGGCTGACAGCGTCAGCTAATGAGAGCATCAGGGAGGCTCACAGGGGACCCAGAGCGGGAGACTCTGGGTAATTATGGGCTTTGTCACTGAGAACGTTCAACAAAGATGGGATGGTGCCTCCTGAGGAGGTTATGGAGGGAATTGGGTACCACGAGGAAAATTTGGCTGGATGAGTCTTAAAGTCTTTCCCAAGTCTGAGATCCACAGTTCTGGAATCACATAAAGATTCCCTGGGAATGAGATGTCAGATGAAAATCACCCAAACAGTGGGCTTCCAAGGATCCTGCAATGAAGCCCCATATTTCTCACAGACTCCAGTTGCACTGGTGAGAAACAAGTGAGCAACCTAACCTAAAACCTAACCATGAGGTCAGGAGGTGAAGCAAGGTGGCCGGTGGGAGACTAGCCTCAGAGCATCATGGTGCCTCACCCCCTCTTGAAGCAGGGTCATTTTAGGGTCACCTGCAGGGGGTGCAGCAGTGACCACATTCACTCCATCATCTCAGGCAGCGTCATAGCTCAAGCCTGGGTCAGTGCTGTGTACCTTTATGATGACTTCCATAGGTCTTAAGATGACCCTGACTTAGCAGAATATAAAGCAGGTTTCTCACAGTAACTTTGATGCCAGTATATTACTATGATAGCCACATTTCTTATAAGACTTAGAGGGAGGAACAGTATCAATTGAGAATGGGTAAATCAGCTTGATGTTTGTATTAGTATGTATTAGCTGCTATAACAAATAAGCCCCAAACATAATGACTCAACTGTGATAGAAATTTACTGCTCATATTTGTAAACCTAAAACAGGTGTTACCTGTCTTGCCATGGTTTTCCTGAGTGGTAACTTGGGAACCCAGACCCTTCCATCCTGGGTCTCCTCCAATGTCTTCCCCAACCACCATGCCCATCTAGGTGACTTGTCTTGGAAGACTACAAGGTGGGAGCTTGTGTGTACCTGGAAGTGGTGCAAGTGATTTCCAGGAACATTCTGTTGGGCAGAACTTGGTGACTTGGGCAAACCCAGCTATAATGGCGGCTGAGAAATGTGGCCTCTTTGTAGACTCAAAAAGAAGATCAAAGGGAAAATGGGCTTGGTGAAGAGCTGGCTTGTTGTTGACACAATCCTTGTGATACTCCTGGGAGACTTGTGTTTTTTCAAGAGCACTAATTTCAGTATTGATAGAAGCTGAGCAGTGCCCCTGGCAGACCTATGGGTGTCCATAAGGAGCTAAAAGGAAAGAAGGATTCAAAAGTAAGCACATTATTAGTAGAGTAATTGGGAGAGTAGCATTTCCTAAAACTCTCAGAGACCTGTTGGCTCATCCACAGTGAGCAGGGTTAAGAGTAATGTCAGAGAAGTCTAGAGACACAACCCAAGGGAGACCAAGGTCATCTGGATTTTATTCTAGTAAGTTCTTGGTAGCTTTCAATCTTCCATCCGAGACTAATGAAGGATTGTGGCTTTACTAGGCATCTTGAATCTTTCCTCTATAAGCAGATGAATATTAAAATTTTATAGATCTCATATAGCAACTAAGGGAAAGGTAGAAAACATTCCAAGGTAGGGGAAGTAGAGGTCACTGCTGTTAGCTCTGCTGCATAGGGAAGGATGCATGCCAGCAGAAGGTCTGGAGAGGCAATATTGCTCCATCCTGTACTCACAATTGTATGAGCATAATGCTGCAGGGGAGCCCAGCATCCTTCCCCAGTTTTAATCAAAGCCATCTTGACTTGTCGACCCTCATCTGCATTAGGGGTCTACCCTTGGTGATGCTGACATCCCTGTAAATAATTGAGAATGAGACTATCTCAGCCTTGAAAGAAATCTTGTTAAGTCACCAGACCCTACCTATGTTCATCATCTGAAACTTGAATTTCCTCTTTACCGTCACCCAAAGTGATCATTCATCTAAAGGTGGAATTCCTCTAAGCATGAGGAATTTATATTCCCTGAAGCCACCCTATTCTGCCTTGGGCCAGGGATGTTAGACCATTTTCTCTCTGACTTGGAATTTGTCTCTCTGGAACACCCTCTTTTTCTTACTATTTCTGGTCTGGAACTTTAACGTTGCACTTGTCCTCCTTCCACATAGACAACTTCGTCAGTATCTAGGGTGCCCAGATAATTGACTGTCCAACTCATGGCAGTTAAGAGCAAAGTGATGGGAGCCATGCTGGAACATCACACATGAGCTGGGCCAGGAACACTGAGCCACCATCAGCCTCCTCTGAAGGTCTGGCAGTCTGGTGACACTATGCCAGGGTGAATGAAGCCCCTGCCTGGCCCCTGCTCGCCTCTGACTACCAGAATGATAGCACCTGAGAGAATCAGAAGGCATCCAGTGGGGCTGTACAAGCTGAGGTTACCTGTTAAAGAGTCTTCTCTCTCCTCCAGGGACTTCGTGAAGGCCTTCATCCAGTTCAAGAAGCCCATCGTGGTGGCCATCAATGGGCCAGCCCTGGGCCTGGGCGCTTCCATTCTGCCCCTCTGTGACATCGTGTGGGCCAGTGAGAAGGCCTGGTTTCAGACGCCCTATGCCACCATCCGCCTCACACCTGCTGGCTGCTCCTCCTACACCTTCCCCCAGATCCTGGGTGTGGCACTGGTAAGCCTCCCTTTCCCCATGCATTTGGGTCTTGTCCTGGGTTTAGAATATGGCTTCATCTGGATAGAAACCCAGGCTGTCAGCAAGCAGAATCTGTCTCAGCTTCCTCAGCTGCCCCAGAGGAGCTAGGGCTGAGGCTGGGCTGGTGTCGGCCTCCAAGCTGGATGGACCAGCAGAACCTAGGAAGACAATGATGTCCACTTATTGAACACCTCCTGCGTGCCAGGCAGTGCACACACGTCATCCATTCATTCCTCCTGCTGTCCAGTAAGGCCGTGCCCTGGGGTGAGCTGTGTTCTGTCACCAGCACCCTACAATCTCAGGAGTCTGTACAACATTTGCTTTTGCCCATGGTGACCAGCTGTCTTTCATCTGGCAGACCTACCTTTCCTTCTAGCTGAAGGGGAAAAGAGAGAACCCACAGGACCACCCAGGAGGTCTCTATGGGCCAGGCCTTTGGGGCATCTTCATTGCACTCGAACATCCTTGGCTGAGACTCTATTGTGTGGCCACACCCACCTGCAGAGGAGGCTGGGAAGTGTGGTCCAGACATGTAGCCTCTATCTGTGCAGAATCCGTTGATATCCCCATCTTACAGATGGCGAATTAAACTCAGAGGAGCTAAGGAATTGCCACAGTGCCAAGTTGGGCAGGGACAGAGATGGTGCCCAAAGGAAGCTGTGGTCAGTCTGCACCACAGAAAATGTGAGCAGGGTGTGTAGTGCTGGTAGCATATGTAGAAAAAAACGACTATATCCCAGGGCTGGGCCCAGCCTGGCAAGGGGGACAGTTGTTACTCCTGCTGGACAGATGCAGAGATGGAGGGTCAGGGAGGCTGAGGAGCCATTGAAGTCACCCAGTGGAATGGCAGCTGTGGGACTGGGACACCGAGTGTCTGGTCCCAGTCTGCGCCCTTAACCCAGCATGCTCTACACCAACCCCCAGCTCTGAGGAGTGAGCCCGAGAGCAGCACTGTCGGGCCAGGAAGGGTTCAGGAAGTGAAGCTGCATGAATATGTGTTGGAGGTGGCTTTGTGTTGCATCCTGGCATCCTGTCAGGGCTCACAGATTCTCCCTGCAAGTGCCCAGACCAGCCCCTGCTGACATGAGCCACAGACTGGCCTCACCTCTAATGGGCGAGTCCTCATCCCAGGAACTCAGGAGGTCCCCTGCCTGATGATTGGGCTTCTGTGACCCCTGCAGAGGCAGGCAGCCAGCCCCGCCCTCCAGGCCTTGCTGAGAACCTGTGAGGGGCCCGAGCTCCACAGCCCTCTGTTCCATTGTCCTACACACCTATGGGGAGCTGTTCCTGTTTGGAATGGACTCCAGGGCCTTCTTAACTTCTCCACTCCATTGGAAGGTGAGGGCCACCTTTGCCAGGACTCCCACCCGTTGAACTGAAGGCACACTCTGGGTTCCGTGGTCCCTTGCATCTAGCCAGAGCTCTGGAGCCCCTTTGCTGAGGGAGGTCAGGGGTTTCACACTTTTGCTTTCTTTCTTCTGTCCCTTTGCATTTCCATCTCTGTGATTTCACCAGTGCGGGGCTGTGGGCTTCCTTTGTCACCCCTTGCCTTAGCCACTTTCCCATAACTGAGGCAAAATACCTAATACATGCAACTTAAAGGAAGAGAGGTTTGTTTTGGTTCATGGTTTCAGTCCAGGATCAGCTGGTTCTGAGGCAGAAATCTGATGGCAGAGGGACATGGGGGAGGAAAAGGTGCTCAACTTGCGGTGGCCAAGAAACAGAAAGAGAAAGGCAGGGCGAGGGCCTCAGGGAGAAGAATATACCTTTTTAGGCCATACCACCAGTGACCTACCTCCAACCAGGACCCACCCCCTGAAACTCACTCAGCTGCTGAGCTAATCAGTGGAGAAATCTGCACATAAGTATATTGGCCCCATAATCCAGTTCCTTCCACACCCAGGGACTTGAGGGGGACATTTTAGATCGAAATCATAATGCCCTGAAAATCTTGCTTTGGTCCCCACCCCTTTTGGTGAGAGGGGCTGATAAGCACTATCCCTTCTGCTTCCTCAGTGTCCTTTTTGCTCCTTTTTAAACTGGCAAGGCTGACGGTAACAGTAGCCAGCCACCGCGCTCCCATCCCCGTTCGCATTGCAGTTGCCCCCTCGGTTCATCCTGCCTGCACTGGGGGCTCAGTGCTGTCCTCAGGCCTCTCCAGTGGAGAAAATTCTCTCTTCTTGGAGGAAATGGAAGCTTCATGAGGTTAAGTGACTTGCCCAGAGTTGTGCTTTAGTGACCAACTCTGTTTTGTTATTTTCTTAGCCCTAGAGTAGGTTGTTCATTTTATTGGTCCTCACCAGTGGCACCCTGCCCTCACCCGGTCACCCCAGAGTCCTGTTCTTGGGATTCTAGGTAACACCTGCTTTTGCCAAGGAGCCTTGAGCCTTCTGTGAGGGTGGGGAGATGCCGTTCTGTTCTCAGTGACCTCCAGCACAGAAGTGGCTGACACAGAAATATTAAGGATGTACAGTGTGATCTCCGCCCACCACCCTCTTAGTCCACCATTTCTGAACCTGCACGAACGTTGCTGACGGAGAAGTGCTCTTGCTGACTGATTCTGTGAGGCTCCCGCCACTGAGGCCGAGACTGAGGAGTTTCTGGACAATTGTCCTGACCCCCACTTGTCTTCGGACCTCCACCCAGGCACATGCTAGAGATGACCAGCCTGACGCTCTTCTCCGCTCTGGCCAGAAGACTGTCTCCTGGGTCATCGTGACTCACCAGGGACAGCCAGCGCAAAGGAAGGGGTGGGATGCAGAGGCCAGAGACTCAGGGGAGGTGCTGACTGCCAGGGGAAGGAGTGTGGTTCATCCCAACGGAGATGCAGACCCTGTCACAGCCTAGTGCCCTAATCGGCATGGGAGTCACCTCAACTTCTCCTGGTTCCTGCCTCCAGCTCTGTCTGTGCCTACAACCTCTTCCATGGCTCTTCCCAGTCTGTGTATCTTAGTCAGCTTTCTGTTGCTGTAACAAAACACTTGAGGGAAGGATTATTTGGGCTCACAATTGTGGTGGTTCCAGTCCATAGTCTGTGAGCCCCGTTGCTTCTGGGCCTGTGGCAAGGCAGCAGCACCTCATGACGGCGATGTGTGGTGAAGAAAACTTCTCACCTCATGGTGGCCAGGAAATGAAAGGCAGGGCAGGGAGAGGGTTAGGAGACCACGGTCCCATAATTCCCTTGGAGGTCAGACCCCCAGGGACCTGAAAACCTCCACCCCTTCCCACGGCACCAAGCTGGGAACCAAGACTTGCACACACAGGCCTTTAGGGAACACTTGTGATGCAAACCATAGCACCTCGTGTAGCAGCGTGAACTGCAGAGCACAGGGAATCCTCTGGGGAGTGGGGTAGAGGCAGCCAGGTGAGGAGAACCTGAGGGGCCTCTTTCTGCCCTTCAGTGCCGCCAGCCCTAGGCTGCTGGAGAGATGCGATGCCTCTTTCTGCCTTGGTGTTTCCATATTTGCTCTGTCTGCAATAGAAACACTTTAATTAGGTTCATTCATTCATTAATAATGTTGTAGTCCTGGGATTGAACCCAGAGCCTTTACACTGAGCTCCACCCCAGTCCTTCTGTTATTTTGAGAAAGGACCTTGCCAAGTTGCCCATGGTGGGCTCAGACTTGTAATTCTCCTGCCTCAGCTTCCCAAGCTTAATTAAAAAAACAAACATATCAGAAAAAAATGAACTTAATTGTTCCTTAACTTTTCAGTTGGGGTCCAGGAACTCTAACACTTTCCCTTCTCTCTCTCTCTCTCTCTTTCCTTCCCTCCCTTTCTCCCTCTCCTTCTCTTCCCCATCATCTGTGGGTGGGAACCTCTCAGGAGATCTTTGTTGTGTAACCTAGATCATCTCTTCATCCCTAGACCATTGTCACGCTGGGACCCCAGCACTGGCATGTGCCCACCCTTGGTGCCCACCCTTTGTCTGCCACCGGAAGTGGGAGCAGTATTGGACAGACAAGGCCACAGCACATCTGTGGCTTCTTTCAAGAACATAATGAAAGCAGTGGCCCCTCTGCTTGGTAAAATGAACGCAGAGACCAACATTCCCGTGCAGTTTGCTTGCAATATCTCCAAACCCAGGCTGAGAATCCTGCCCTGTGGAGCAGGGACAGTTGTGCCCAGCTGGCCTGGCACTCCCTGAGGGACACAGGCAGATCTCCACACCCTCAGCCCTTCCCTGCCTTTGCTCTTTCAGGCCAACGAGATGCTGTTCTGCGGGCGGAAGCTCACCGCCCAGGAGGCGTGCAGCAGGGGCCTGGTGTCCCAGGTCTTCTGGCCCACCACGTTCAGCCAGGAGGTCATGCTGCGTGTCAAGGAGATGGCGTCATGCAGCGCCGTGGTGAGTTCCCATGTGTCCCTGTGCCGGTCCTTCCTTACAACAGACCGACCCTACAGATGAGGACACCCAGGCCCACGGGACTGACTGATGGGCTGGAGGCCAGGCAGGGCGTGGGGGAGAGGCCCTGAGAGGCCACCGATGCTGGCTCCTGGTGCGCACTTAGGTAAGGGATGGAGGCCCCGTATTCGTGTGTGTTCTCCTCCACGCCCAGGTAGAAGAGCCTCACAGGACAGGTTCATAGCTCACAGCCTGGGGTAGCGTGCACTGCTTTAAGAGAAAGTCCGGAACACACAAAAGCACAAAACGTCTACAGCTTTCTTCTGTGTGTGTGTGTGTGTGTGTGTGTGTGTGTGTGTGTCTGTAATTTTTATCACTGCATGTTCACATCCGTAATGATTCCATTCTTCGTAGGAGTTGGTACACGTGCCAGACACATCTGAATTCTTGTTACGTCCCCTCCCTCTCCCTCTCGTTCTCTTGGTGTCCTTTCCATTTGCAAAAGATCGATCTCCCTGTTCCTATTCCCCGTCTTCTGTCTTCCCAGAGGAATGAGAAGCCTGGGCAGATAGTGGATAAGGCCAGGGACCAGGCGTGACCGGACCAGGACACATTGTCTCTGAATTTCATTTCTTCTGCCCACTGAGTGCCTGGCACATCTAACGATTGCTGTTTGACTCTGAAGATGCACTGAAAAATAGATGAATAACACCTCTGCAGAGGCACCAGTTTTTCATTAAGTGTTGATTTTATCTCGTGGCCATCACCATGAGCACAGGAGGGGAATGTCCTGTGGGAAGGGGGAGGGAAGGCTGGTGCTAGAGCCAAGGGCCGGCTCCAGAGCCGAGGTCCCAAGACTCTGTGCATCCTAAACTGAGGGCCCGTGGTTGGGGCTGGTAGCACCAGACCCATGACCTGTCTTCCTTCTCCTTCTGCCTGCACCCACCCAGTTGCTGTGATTCTCCTGATTGGCCTAATCAGTACTTATTGGGCACCTGCTGGGTGCTCACCACTCCCTGAGAGCTGAATAGTAGCAGTAATGATGGTCTCCATGCCAGGTTAACAGCCACACCCTTGCTGATCTTGTATGGATTCGCTTTCCCCTTCCTAACAATTAGCATGACCAATTTGTCCCACTTTGCCACAGATTCTCTTGGTTTTAGCTTGGAAAATCCTGCATCCTAAGAAACCTCACTGGGTTTGATTCATCACCCCAGGACATTCTCACAGAGGGACAGGCAGAAATCTGAGTGGAGAACACAGCTTGTTGTGAGCAGGAGCCAGGAGGGTCACGGTGAGCACAGGCAGCCACCCGTGCCAGCTGGCACAGAGCACCAGATGGGCAGGGAGGCCTTGGACGAAGGTGGGAGGAGCCCGGGCTGCAGGGGAAGCAGCTGCTGGAAGGACAGTTGAGAGAACTCCCTCCTAGGAGAGGCCCGCTGTTGGGGACATCACAGGGAAATCCAGGAGCTCTGGGTGGTTTCCTAGAAAGGCCTCTACTCCAGGATAGGGAAGTGCATGGCCTCTTGGAGTCCTGGAATCCCCGGAGGAGGAGAGAGGCCTTCTAGCTCCTTCTCATGGCTCGGCCTCCCCTCCAGGACTCTCTGCTCTTAACTCTCACTGGGGAGTAGGGTTCTGCTAGCCTCCAGCACCTGGAGCGCTCCTTTTGCTTTTTTCTGTTTGAAAGTATTTTGGGACACTGATCTAAGCCTTGACTGAAGCTGTGGCAGGCAGATGCCAGAGGAAGGCTGCTCAAAGGTCTCACTTCCGGCCGTGCCTCCACTGCAGGGAGGCAGCAATATGGCTGTGGGAATCAGCCAAGGGGCAGCCTGGGCCATGTCACCCCTCCGGGTCCTTCGTCTGTGATGGGGGATAAAAAGGACTTACTTCTAAAGTAAGAGCAGGAAATAAAAGAATTCAGGAAAAGGACTTCTTGAAGAGCTTGTTGGTTAATGGTGATTGTAGTGAGATTGTTATTATTTTACTGTTACCACTACTATTACTACTTATTACTATGATTATTATTGCTCATTACTACAATTGGTATTAATGTGATTACTATGATTATTTGTCACTGTGATGATTATTACCATTATTTCTGTGATGATTATTGCTTAGTTATGATGATGATGACCATAATTACTATGATGATTATTGCCTGGTACTACAATTATTATCACTATGGTTGCTGAAATTCTTCATTCTTATGATTATCACTATGATTGCTAGGATTATTATTCATTACTGTGATTATTATTACTAGGATTGGTATAACTATTACATATTCTGACAGTTACTAGCATAATGATTGCTACAATTAGTACTCATTACTACAACTACTATTACTGTTATTATTACTGTTCTTTCTGCTAAGCCTAAAGGGGGCAGTGCTGTTGGGCAGGTCATATGTATACTTAGAAAACCATTAGTTCATTTTATTACCTCTATGTTCCCAAAGGCCCTTGAGTTAGCACCACTGTTCCAAACAAATCAAAAAATGAATGCATTCATGGCATGGGGAAGTTAAAGCAGTGCTTTGCAAACTTTTTGATGACACCCATTGAAGATGGCACTGAGTTTATTTCACCTGTGGATAAAAGACAAGGCTCTGTGGTTGGGATACCATGGACCCCCAGCCTTCCTGGGGTGGAGGCCTCAACATCTTACCCAGCTGGACTCTGCTGGGGACCCTTGAAACATTACTGGAAACCTCTGCAGTAGGCTCCAGTCTCCTGCCCAGTGTACAACAAAGGCCTGAGGAAAAAACCTAAAAGACAGAACTAAGAGAGACAGAAAGCGGGGTGCCAGGATGACCAATGCTGGTGCAACTGACAAAGGTGCTGTCCAGTCCAAGCCACTGATTTTTATTGGTAATCAGTTGGGGTAAAGGTGAGCTATGTGCAAGGATGTGCATTTGTGTGGTTTCTATGGAAATTAATGTAAACAAAGCTCTTAAAGGACAAGACAAAGCATTTTCAAATTAGGAACAAAACAGACAAAATATATGGTTATAATTAGAACATTGTCCTACTAGTTAGAAGGTTTCATTGTGGGAACAGAATTTGGTTTTGAGTTATTCTGACTTTAGCCCATAGGCTTTGGCCAGACTCACTTCTCAAAACAAGCCAATTGTGAGGTTAACTCTTCACAGCCTGCTTGTGGACATAGTCAATATTTCAGTCCCCTGCAAGACTCCATCTGAGGTAATGCTGGAATATGGTGGGCCATGCTAAAGGAAGAAATCATCCTGGTGTTGACATCAGAAAGTGGCCCGTTGTCTCCTGACTGCATGCGTAGTTCCTGGGCTGGCTAATCAGGCCTGTGGATTTCCTTGCAGGTGTTAGAGGAGTCCAAATGCCTGGTGCGCAGCTTCCTGAAGTCGGTCTTGGAGGACGTGAATGAGAAGGAGTGTGTCATGCTCAAGCAGCTCTGGAGCTCCTCCAAAGGCCTGGACTCTCTGTTCAGCTACCTGCAGGACAAGATCTACGAGGTCTGAAGCCCGTGCAAGGGTGCCTGACTACACCTCGGCCTGGGTTCCGGCTGTCAGAGCCCAGCGTCTGCCCGGCCAAGGAGCTCTTCCCGATGTCTCTACAGCTAGGGTCGTGTCCATCTCCTCGTGTCCTTTGGTTGTTCTTCATTGGTTTGATTTTGTGTGATGGTGGGAAACACAGCACACTTGGCCTCCCCCATGTCCCACCCCATAGAGCTCTCGAGGGCTCTGCCTTCCCAGGGCTCTGCCAGGTCCCGTTGTCCTTCCCCACTTGCTGAAATGCACCATCGTGGTCCAGGAAAGGGAGACCGCCTCCCCCATCCTTCTGACTCAGGCTGTGTCTACACAGTGCCTCTGACTTGGAGACAAGGCCAGCATGGTTTGCTCTGGTTGAGTGTAGATGATCCATCCTAGCAAATTCACAGACCCGTGAGCAGGCTTCTGTCTCCTCTCCGATGCAGTCTGTGTGACTATTAGGGCTTGGTCTTAAAAACCCAACTGAGTGATTTACAAACCCAGATATTGTACATTTAGAAATGTTTTGTTAAATATATATTTTTAAAACAATGTAAGTGGAAATTCTGATAATTTATGTATATTATATGTAAAGCTAGTTTTGCAAAAAAACACATGAACTACTAGGAAAATGTTTTCTTTTCTTTAATCGGATTTATTTTATTTATTTATTTTTGTTTATATATTATGATGTCTGTTATTCACGCAGATCTTATTTTCATACTGCCCTGGACCAAATACCGTTCAAGGTTCATACTGTTTGGTGCATTCTAGCAATGAAGCACATAGAAATAAAACTGAGAGAGACGAGAACAGAAGGATTTCTTTGGATAAAGGAATAGCTCTGCATCAGACCCTTTTTTGTGTAGCTGTGGTAACATAATACCAGTTCTCTAGTCTTATCCTTAAGAGAAATCATGTCAGGATTTTCTCTTCACTCTCTGTCTTTAAAGAGATAAAGGGCTCTCAGCTTAAATGGTCCCCAAATAGACCTAGTTCCTACTCTTAGGGCATCAGGAACAGGTAGGAACAGGCCCTACCTGGTAGCATGTGGCCCACCCTGAGACTTTTCTTTGTGCAAATGACTGAGCTTGGATTTCAGAGACCATTTCTTCCATATGTGCATCAATTGCTGGTTTTGGCCTTCCAGGAAAGTGGCCAGAATTCTTGTCTGTTGAGTTGGCTGTACAATCTGAGTCTTTTTGCCTCCAGAAGCCCAAATGATCCATCTTTAGAAATGGTCCCCTGCTTTCTGTTCAGATTCCAGTCAGGTGCAGTTATGTTCAGTAGCTACAGAAACAGTGTCCAGATTCTCATTGGAAATGGAAGGGGATATTTAGAAATTCATTCTGATCAATATCCACCTTTGTTTCTTGCTAAAATGTCTTAGCTTTGGGGTATCATCAATTTCAAACCCCTGAAGAGTTTGTGGATCTGTAATGACTAAGGTAGGCAGATGAAACCATCTCTAAGGTGGAATTCATGCTGTTAATTGGTAGGTTCTGGGTGTAACAGGAGGTGTTTTCAAAGAGTCTGTGTTTTGGTTGTTTGATGAAGTCAGCTGAATAATGGAGTTCCACAGTTGGGCAAAAGTTAGTGAAGTCTCTTTGCTACGATATAGACCGAACCGTTGGATTTTTCACTTTCTGACAATAAGTAAGGGAAATCCATGTACTTACAGCAAATCTATCTGGGATGAAAAATACCAGACCTATGGTTGTGTTAAGGTTTACCCTAATAGCATTCTCCAGGTAGTGTCATTTTAAAAATCTTGTACCCCAGCGCCCTCTCTCCTTCCATGGGAAACTTGCTGTCCTACTTTTCTCCCTACACCCCAAATCCCTACTCCATGTCTGTCTCTCGCTAGAGCCTGGGCAGATCTTTGAGGAATTGTCAGCCCCATCCCAGAATTCCTTTGGGATTGGAAGAACAGCTATGGATGGAGGCTGAGGGTACTTCTCTTCTGGATGTCCTCTCCTTCTATAGACTCCCGTCCCCTCCGCCCCAACCCTGATTATGCCTAATATCCAATGTCCTACAGTGGAGCCATTGGAGTGAACAGCCCTGTTCCCAGGGGACTTTCTACAGACCTTCTGTTAAGATGCTCATACCTCCTCAAAGTCTGGAAGTCATGGCATAATACAGATGTTATTTATACCCGTGTCTCTTCTCACTCAGAAATAAGGTCTGCAGGTAAAAAGCATCACCATTCCTCACTAAGAATGAAATGGGGTAACTATGAGAAGGAAGTAGAATATTGATTTGAAATATTACTCTTGTTTGGTATACATGAAACTAGAAAGTGGCCTCTCAGAAGCATGAAAATATATTTTCCCCATTTGAAGTTTAGTATGAGGATGGAAAAATAATAATCACAATACACTTTGAACAATGCAGCTCTCTCTCTGAATAGCCACATTTAAAAATAGCCTTGACTAAATGCTGAATTGCATTTCCCATTATGAATGGTTAGTTTCAAAACCTTTAAAAAAACTTTTAAAAAGTTTGTAAACTTTTTTTAATTTTGAATTTAGTCACATTCATGAGATTTTTCCAATCTAGTTTCTGTGGAAATTTTTTAACAAAGAGAAACAAATAGAAACATCTGCAAATCTTCTTAAGTGGATATTTAAAATGCAGAATTACTCCTCTTCTGTGTTTCTGTATTCAGATACTTAGATTTGTTGTATATATTAGTCTAGACTAATTCACTAATATACACAGTATTTAAGACTCTAAATGAGATTTCTTAAGTATTTTATTTTATTTTCTGTAAATGGTTTTGTAAAAATCTTAAAAAATCTACACTTTGCCTTTGTAGATACATCTTTGAGGGTTGTCTTGCATGTATATTTTTGTTGTAGATAAGTGTTGCTTAGTTCTTTCTGCAAATTTTGGTTGAAATGCTTATAGACTTTAATACAGTATATATTTTCAAAATATAAACTTTTATATTTCTGTGGTAAGTTAGGATATGCGTTTTAGGCAATCTTTTCCATAATATCACTTGTTCTTTCAAAAAACTAGCATACAGGTTTGGTGCCAATGTTTTTGTTTTGTTCTTTATGTTTTTAAAATCTACTGCTCTTATACTGTTAGAGAGCAGGTTCATTTTCTTTTTCTAGAAGTAACTAAGTTTGAAGTATCATTTGAAAATGTATTGAATTTTTGAGTAAGCCTTACCATTAGGATCATAAACTTTCCAACCTTTGCAACTACGTGTGTAGTTTAAGATCTCCCCATAAATTCTCACAGTGTGGCAGTTGATGGAGTTTGTGGACAGAGCCTTAAGATTGCTGCAAAAATAATAATAAAAGGGTAATACGGGTTGTTTCCTCCATGTTGACAGGCTCAATGTAGTCTGTCGGTCAGAGTTTGGTTAAGTTGATGGCGGCAGGGACCAGATAGATACTTTGGAGATTGTCTTTGGCCATAAGGTTGGCCCAAAGACAGATTTTCTGGAGCCACTTTCATACTGTTCACTTGGTTTAGACATGGTCATGGGGAGGGCTGCTGGTTCATCATTTGTTCTGAACAAATGGCACTTCCTGCTCCTGACCCTGGTGATGGATCCCAGGGCTCCTTGTGGATGACCTGAGAAGTCCAGTCTGGTTGAGGTCAGAGCTCCTTGAGAGATGTTAACAAAGTTTATGTATGAGTCTTACTGTGTAGACAATCTGAAGTTGGTTTTACATAATCAGCATTCCCATGTGTCCTCAGTGTCCCCTTGGTGAACTCTGTGTGTCAAGCCATACTAACCTGGAGTTTAACAGGACAAAAGCAGTTGGAATGCTGAACCCGCTCATCAGCTGAGTCTGTCTATCTGGGGCTATCTCAGTGGAGAAAAGGCAGGCATAGAGATGATCAACAGTGAGGTTATTGTGTTTGGGAATCTAATAAAACCAGCTAGAATTTGGCCTTAGGTTTTAAAAAAATTACAACTCCTTTGGTTGGCCACAATGGAGTAGTTACCAACTGATCTTCCTTACCAATGCCTTTGATCTAAGATCTCGAGTGCCTGGTTACAGTATGGCTGAAGTCATTTGGTCCATCTTTAATAAGTGTCCATAAGGTCATCTTATCAACCACTGGGATGGAAATTTGTGAATTTGATTCCCATTTTTGTATTGCGTGTGGCAAGTCAGGAAAGCCAGTGTCTGGTGTTAGGGCTCAGCTCTGACGTCTCTGTAGGGTGACCTCACTTCACTGGCCCAACATCTGGCCTCATGCCAGAGCTCATTCATTTGGCTCTGGGAAGGTCAGAAGGTATAGAGTTTTCTATCTAGTATTTAATTTGTCCCTGTGCCATTAGTCTCAGCTTGAAGTCATTTGCCAAGGTCTATGTTGACAGGATTGTGAAAATATTGCCTTTCATAAAACCAAGGACCAAAGAATTCCATTATTCCAACAAAGCGTGAGTTTCATAGATTTTAGGGGCGTCCAGATGGAGAAGTTCGAGCTTGAAATCACTCAGCACCCCCAACCTCATGCTCCCTCGGCTGGCCAGACACAGGGACTCGTTGTCACATTGAGAAGGCTCTGAAAGAGGAGTTTCTAAGGCTGAAACTTACTGTCTCAGGTGGTGTTTCTGCTGTATAGTCCTAAGCTTTTTATTCATATCATATAAAGTGGGAACCTGGCATTTCTCTGGGTTTATCTGACCAGTGTAGATGCCTCCTTTTGCACATGAGTCTTTGATACGAGTTTTGCAACTGTGTCTGCGCTGAGCAGTGGGATCCTCTGACTGCCAGATTTCCACCTCTTTAGTTCTACATCAACCCATTCCAATTCCAGTTTGGCAGGGAGTAGGGGAGAATTTTCCTCAATTCTCACACCAGGTGATGCTCCATTCTCATTCATGGTGAAATCATTGATCCATTAACCAGTTGAGAAATGATGGATGTTGACAAAGTGCTATTCTATTGGTAAGGCTTATTACCAAACTTCTTATAATGAAGCAGGCTACCAAAAACTTACCCAGCCCACCCCAAGAGTGTTCGGGTTGGTTCATGGGTGTAGCATACACACCAAAATCCACGGAGACCTTTGCAAATTAGGCTACTCGTTTTATTTTGCCAGATTATCATGGGAGAGTCTTTAACTAGTTCTGAACATTTGTAAGTATGAGTACTTCATAGAGATATAAAGCAGGTACAGCAGACCCATCCTCACCATGTTGTAAATATTTCCTGAAACTGGGTGCAGTCCTGAGGGATAATAATCTTCTGATTTATCAAATGCTGACTGTCTAGAGCAAAGTGTACACTCTCTTTGTGAATGGTCCTGTAACGTGTATGAACACATTTCTGGGTGCCTTAGAAGTTGTATTTTTCATGTGTGCTAATATGCAGTATTTATACATTGTGAGAAGCTGCTTTGAATAAAAAGGTTGAAACTTTGTCTCCCATTTGCTTGTGTTCCTGCTTTTGCAGCCTGGACATAAAATTCACAAACAGGTTCTGTGGTTCCTGAATAGAGAAGTTTCAGGACCTCCTGGGGGGCTGAGAGCTGACTTTCTGGCTTGTGTCTGGTTTCCTGGAAGCCCAGGCACCTAAATAGTAACAGGTCTCTTAATCCCTTATCAGCCCCTGGGAGTCTGGTGGTCCACTACAGACAGTCTGCTCTGTCGCCCACATTTTAGGAGGTGCATCCAGTGCCCATTCTCCTTCCCCTTGAGATGAAAGGGGAGGCTCTTCCTTGTTTCCGTGTGCGTGTGTCCTAATGGGTAATAGAGTTCTCTGCAAAGCGTTCTTCTCATCCACCCTCAGTGAATGCTAGGTGCGCACAGACTGCATCTAGAGATTGTGCAGTCCCTTAAGAGACTATTTCACTGTGTGGGTGGGTGCATCTCCTGTGAAAGCCACGCTCTTGGGCTTCAGGGGTTGTAATAAGGACTTGGACTTTCACTCCAAGTGAGTCAAGAGCCCCAGGAGGACGCAGGGAGGGCTGGCCTCGGCTAACTTGTGCTTTCATAGATTCACTTCACAACAGTAGACAAAGCCAAGAAGGGCAGAAGCAGGGACACCAACAGGGGACATGGGATCGTCCACCCGCACCTCGATGGAGGCTGCAATGAGGGATCAGGCAGCTGAGGTGTTGAGGCAAGGAGTCTCGGGTTTGAGGGGAATGCAGACCAAGATTTGCAGGTGGGCTGGTCAGGGAGTCAGGGAGAGGGAAGCAGGCATCTGAGGTGAGTGTGAGGCATGGATGGGCCTGAGTCATTGGAAAATGGAATTGCCCTCACCAAGGCAGGGACCGCTCTGAGACTTGGGGAACGAATAGGTCTGGGGGCGCTGTCAGGAGCCCCTCTGAGAGCAATACCATGGGCACCAGGTGTGCGGCCCTGCTCAGCCCTGAGGCTAACAGCTGTGCCTGCCTCTGGGATGTTTTGAATGATTAAAGCAGATTTACACACACACATGTCTGTGTCGATGTATATAGGTGGGATTTTAAAAATACGACACTTATTTAAATGTGTAACATTAATATGTAAAATTACATTATGTATACTATATGAAACTGCGGGTGTATAGTCATTTTCACTGATTAAATGAAATTCACCTATGAGATTTGTATATAAGTATGTATTGTATTTAGTACAGTCGCTGACATTTAGTCACCAATGTTTGAATGAGATTTTCATAGATAGGTGTATATATTCAATATTTTACATATATGATTCATATAAATTCCATTATATATGTTATTAGATATAATTTTATAGCACTTATTGGCACAGACACTATGGCAGTGGTGGCGAACCTAAGGCACACATGCTAAAGCAGGCTGCTTGTTATCATTGAAAGCGCTAAAAGATTCACCATCATTGCACTGTGGGATGATGCAATGTGATTTACATGGGTGTACATATCTGAGGTTTTATATATGAGATATATGCAAATATATCAAAGATGTTTAAATGAGATTCAATCAATACATACATGAAGTTTTATATGTGATATGTTTAGAATGGTTTTGGAACATGGTACTAGTGATTAAGTGAGCTTTACATGTCTATATGAGATTATGCATGCATTAGATTTAAAAGTACAGTAAGCCCCCAACTTAACAAGTTGTGAACTTTCACAGATACGAACAGACCTCACATTTGGTTTTTTATGCTTTACATTCTATATTTGTGTCAAAGGTCGGGCTTACAGTTGAATATGACTTGTGAATGTTCCCCAGAATGAAACTCATTTGTAAGTCGGGGACTTACTGTACACACACACACACACACACACAGACACACATAGACACAGACACACATACTCACATACTTTTGGTCCCCCCCACCGCTGCCAGGGATTCCATAAAGCAGTCCCACAAGCTCTCAGATCATGAGGTTTCAGAAAAGTCTGTTTGTCATCTAAACCCCTTCCTGGAGGCACCAAGGTGGTGGCTTTGGACCAGGGATGGCCTGGGGATAGCCCAGGAACATTCTTGAGCAGAGCATGGTGCCAAGTCCAGAATTCAGTGTCCATGATCAGCCAAGATCCAAGAGTCAAAACCCAGGGGCCCAGTGGCAGAATGAGCCACCCTGGGGAACTGCAGGCTGGAGAGTGGGAAGGAGTCCTGGGCACTTGGTTGGAGCAGCTGCCATCTTGCCCAAAGTTTGGGAGGGGACCCAGGGTACCAGGTGGGTAGGAAGTGCCAGTGTATGCATGAATCAATGATACATCCTCCTACAGAGCTGCCAGTTTGCACAAGGTCGGGGCAGTGCTGGGACAGGTGGCTCAGGAGACCGTACCAGGAACATGAGATTCGTAGGTTTTACTGGAAAGAGTATAGTTTACCTTTTTTTTTTCTTCTGGTACTGGGAATCGAACTCAGGACTTTGTGCTTGCAAGGCAGGTGCAGCGCCACTGAGCTAAATCCTCTGCCTGGAAAGAATATGGTTTAGAGTACAATAACCTTGCACTTTAGATCTTTAGGTAGAGTTGCATAACCTGTAATCCCAGCTGCTAGGGAGGCTGAACAGGAGGATTGTAAGTTTGAAACCAACTTGGAAAACATAGCCAGACCCTGTCTTAAAAACATAAAAGAATAGGGCCAGGGATGTAGCTCAGTGGCACCGTGCCTGTGTGGCAAGTGCAAGGTCCTGAGTTCGATTCCTAGTACCAAAAAAAAATTTTTTTTAAATCTCTAATTTGTTTTTTTGTTGTTTTTGGGGTTTTTTTGGTACTGGGGATTGAACTCAGGACCTTGCACTTTCGAGGCAGGTGGCAGAGCCACTGAGCTAAATCCTTGGCCCTCTAATTTGGTGTTGATGAATGATATCACCATAACTTTGCTAATCTGTATAATGGGAACAACCTGAGCCGAGCAGTGGGGCTGGCTTCTAGCAAGTGTTCCCTAAATAGTATTCCATAACGTCCACCATCTTCTCTTTTCCTTAAAAGCAATGGAAAGTGGCTGAAGTGTGGGGGAAGGCGGGTGGGGAGCAAGCTGGGAGGCAGACTGTCTCTGTGACTCTGTCACCTGGGACTGACATCCAAGCTGATGTAACTAAAGAGTGTCAAGGGACCCCAGTCACTCGGGAAGCCCTCAGCCAGATGGTGACTTGTAGGGTGCAACTTGATAACCTCCTGGATTAAATAAGGCCTTAGAATGGTCTGTGGCTGTAGCATGGCTGGGGTCTGCCGTTCAGCCACGGAGTGCAGAGAAACACTCAGGCACTCAGCTTCCTGCACCAGGCACGCAGCCGTTGGGCAAGGTTGGGACGGCTGGTGCTTCCATTGTCCTGCTGCCGTGGAACATGGAGCCCTGGGCTCTGTGGGGCAGATGGCAAGTGTGCTGTCTAAGGTGCCAGGGGACCTGGCAGGTTCTGTCTTCAGGGTGCGCATGGAGCCCCAGGGTGCCACCTGTGCGACACACTTGTTTACGTTCTCACTTCCAAAGAGACACATGAGCTACTCTCCTAGCTACTGGGGTGTGTAACAAGCAGTTACTGACAAAGAGGAGAGAATTCAGCTCTTGTGGGCCAATTTCTGAGGGAATAGACCTGTGGTCGATGATTTTTTTTTTTTTTTAGAAAGTTGGGGTTGTGTCTTTAAGATGGTGTCTACCCTTGGCCACATTTCCTGTTTGACTGTGGAGGTTTTCACTCTGCTTTCTCCTCCCAGTGTCTTGCATCCTTCATCGTCTTATCATCATAGTGACAGCTCTGGTGCACCAAGAAGAGCATTTTAGACCTGAGTTCAAATTCTACCTCCACACGTGTGTTGGGTTGTGATGACATAGCTCCTTTTGACTTCAGATTCCTTGTCTGGGTGTGGGTTTTTTTGTTTGTTTAAGGATTGAGGAGTAACATAGTCAAACTATTAAATAATACACACTTACTTCAGGTTAGTTCATTATTGATAAGGTTTATTTATGTCCAATTTCTTTTAATGTCTCCACTTCATAGGAGAGAAAACTGGAGCTTAGATAGCCTTGGTGGTTTACCCAAGGACAGATGGTACTAAGAGTGGAGTAGACATTCTAATTTATTGGTTTTTGTTGTTGTTGTTGGTGGTGGTGGTGGTATACAAGCTTTTTATTCTGAAATAATTTTAGATTTACAAAAAAGCTGCAGAAATAGTACATGCTCCCTAAATCCTACATATGCTTTACCCAAATCTTTTGAATGTTAGCATTTTTCATGTACACAGCACACAAGATGGGGGCTCCAGACATTGTATGTGAATCTCCATTCAATTTGGCATCACAGGCTTTGGAGTTCCTAAGTGGTGGGGTCATGGAACTGAAGGGCTGAAGTCATGAGTCTGACCTCAGTGCCACAGAAGGCACAAGGAAGTCTGAGTCCTCCTGTGGTTGGTTCTCTTTGGAGGCCACTAGTGAGTGCTTTTAATGTAGGAACAGCTCAGAGGTGCTGGAGAGACAATGCTCACTTTGCTCCATCTCCGGTTCAGATTTCTCCTGGGAGAGCGGGGTGCTCCCCTGAGCTGAGCTTCGAGGGCCCAGCATGCTCTGGGCCAGGCTGGCTGGGTCTGTAGACAAAACATACATCCTGCTCCTCTTTTGAGGGGAGATCTTCAGTGTTTTGGCTGCTCTACATGAATAAGGGGAACAGGAGGAGCGAGGGTAGGAGAAAGAGGAGGCGGAGTAATGGAAGAGGAGGGAAGGAAAGAGCAGGAGGAAGAGGAAGAGGGAAAGGAAGAACAGGAGGGGGAAGGAGCAGAGGGAGAGATGGAAGAGGGAAGAAAGAGGAAGGAGAACAGAGGAAGAGGGGGAGGAGGAGTCACCCCTGGGGATGCAAGTAGACCAGAGGTCCCAGGGTGTTTGTAGTTACACTGAACAAAGAGCCCAATGTGGATTAAACAATTGTGAGGCCTCTTTTTGCCCTCTTCGTGTGTTTCTCAACTGAGGAACTGAGAGAGGTTAGGTTTCTCCAGATCCTCAGTA